TAAGTGTCCCTGACCCTCCAAGTATCGGACGTCTTTTGGCCTCTACTTTTCTCCATGCCTGTGCCTGCTTGCTCGCAGCCTGCCGCCGGCCTTTCCGCTGGCACCTAGCTCAGATTAAAGTGTGCCACAAACCTAGTTTCGGGTGTAGGTTTTCGAAAGCAGAACAGTGCAGGCACTCTCGGTAGCTCGCCTGAAGCCAGATAGCTGCATCCAAAATCTCAGAGGTGCAGATCTGCCGCAGATCTTCGACCTGGATTTCTCCCCCATGTTTGAGAAGCCCCAGGCCAGCTGATGCAGCAACTCCCTGCGAGTTGCAATACATGAGACCGACAGGTGAGAAGAAGAGCACTAGGATTCTGCTTGTTACCTTCAAGCAAAACCTCACCGTGCAGCTCCATTGAACTTCCATTTCCCCACGTCAAACATTTACTGCAGAGTTTTCGTTGGAAATCATCCTTGTGGCAGCTGGCTGTCGTTTGCTTTTCCTGTTGAAGCAGCAGCCATCAGTAGCCATCTTGACAGTTCAGACTCCTTGGTGCTGTAATCAACATACAGCCAAAGGCAAAAGAGCCGAAGGGACAGAGTCCAGTTCCGTAAACTCGATCAGAAGCCAACATTGTGGAAAGATGCTATAGAAATTGGAATTCACAGCAGAAGTTGCATGTCGCTCTCTCCATGCAACATTCAGGAGTTCGGTACTGCTGTGCTTTGCCTGCTCTTCATCGTAGTCTTCGACACCGCTGGAGCCTGTTGCTCAGCCGAGAAAGAGCAGGCAGTGCTGACGCCATGTGTGTTTTGATACAGACAGCTGTAGAAATGGTAGTTTCCAGCCATAAATAAGGAGACCCCAACACTACTGGGTAGGCCCCTGGGATNNTTTAGGGGCCAACCCAGACTATAATCCTTATTCTGGGATCCCCAATTTGGGAAACTCCCAACTGAGGTCCAGCATGGCATCGGGCAGCAGGCGGTTTTCACCTGCTCTGCTTCGATAACTAGGGTTTAGGGTTTAGGATGTANNTAGGGTTTAGGATCTAGGGTCTAAGATATTCTGTGCACTCAGGGAAATCTACACGTGCGTCATCTGAACCCTGCGCTTTAATCGTACAGCCAGCACGTTTTTGAATGCATGTTTGCAGCCCGAGCAGATATTGGGTTGCCAAACTTGTGGTGTTTTTTGGGTACGCTAGAAGCTGCTACGGGTCTATTACCATATCCCTACATAATCTATGTGGGGGGACCTCCATGATTCCCCCGTATTTGTAGTCCCTATATATACCTGAGGTCTACGAGGCGGCCCTATTTCAAGATATCACCCATATTCACCCTTCTCATTCAACAAATTTAGAGCCAGCCTATGCTTCGTTGATGAAGACTGCAAGAAGCCCCTCAATCAGTGAACCACGATTAGTGACGTGTGGGGATCACCCAAATCAAGACTTTGAACTGGAGTCCTCGCTCTTGATCCAGCGCCACGTTCACAGAAGGGCCGTAGAGATTTCCTAGAGTAGCAGAGTATGCGTGGTTTACTTATTGGTTGGTAGACAATAAGGGAATACAATCCTTATGATTGCCCTATGTAACATATTCCCATATTC